CACAGGAACAAGAGGGGTCTCCTTCTATGTATTTTATTTATAGTTTTGATTGATTACATATAACCATATTGACGAATAGCAAATTATTATCGAAATTGCGGAGCCTCTCCTCTTACACCCACCCCCGGGAAAACTAGAGTACCAATATCAATTTTTATTATCTAAGTATAACTCATTTTTATATCTACGAAACAACATGAAACTACCGCGATTTACTGCAACTTTTATAGAGGAGAGTACCCAAGTATGTGAAATCCGAGAAGGTTGAAGACCGAAGCAACGAATGTTCAGATATATGTCAAGACATAGCAACGGCTATGTTTGCGGTCGTCTCACAGCATACTCGTGTATATAAAATTCAGTGTAGTGGTATTTTGTCAAACGAAAAAGTTGTTTAAAATGTGCATTTCTACATTTGTTAATTTTACGAAAATCGGAAGTAGAGCGAGAACCCTGCGATATTAGCCTAAACAATTGCGATGCGTGGTAAACTTCGTCACGAAGTACTGAATAGAAAGTTAAAGGAGCTTATCAATTTAAAGTAAGACGTCATAAAACTTTGTGAAAAGTTTTTCACTTTTCTAGGTTATTTACAACGAATTTCTCAGAACAAGTAGAGGAATTCTTAACAGAGATGTTGGACATGTTGAAACATCGATACGGTGTCTTACTACTTCTCTATAGTGTAATTGTTACAAAAGGCGTTCCAGAAATTCGCGTTGAAATGTCGGATCCTTTAGAATCAATGATTGATTCAACTTATGGTTATGGAAGTCAAAGTCTCATAAATTTAATGCTCACTGGGAGGGCAGTCAGCCACGTATGGGATTATGACCAAACCATTGGAGATCTCAGTAAGAAATTTATTCTCCAATATCTGAATTGACACCTTGATTGTCGTGCCGAACTAAGTAGTTAATTTTCCTTCCAATCTTGGAACAATTCTCTATTATTTAGTCGAATTAATTGAACTTTGTGACGGTCACTACACAATCAACGTGTTAACTACTACAAAGCTAGTAAACGCATTAATACAGCATTATCTTTATATTAACAACATTTTTTAATTCAGTAACTATTAGCTAATTTAAATTTCAGTTTTCGAGTTAAGGTAATTACTATATATTAAAACTGTCATTTTGATACAAATTTTTAACACTTTGATAGTTGCACATTTCTGTGGTCGACTTTAGATTGTCGCCGGCGTTACTTATGAAGTTTTTCGTATTATATAATCAAAATAATTACGGTATATTGAATGATACAATTGAAACATATAGGGGACAAAAGCAGCAGTTTTGGCGATAACAAATAGTATGTATTATCGTATAAACATCCATGTGTTGAAATCATTTTGATATGCTATTTGAAAATAGTAACGCAAAGTTGTGCCTACGTGAAACCGGTGTAGAATGTAGTTAAAGAAATCACGTGACAGCGGCCATCAAAGTGTTAATAAGTTAAGTTAAACTTTTTATTGTGAATTAATTTCTTTCTAATTAATTAATTTTATTAATTTTAAATACATACATTTGTATTGCAATTACAATTACTAATGTAGCTTAATTATTAGACTAATCATTCACTATGAATTAACCCTCGATTCAGTTAAAACAAGTTTTGAAGTTTATGGATTTTACACACACAACCACATGAATAAAAAATAAAATGTTAAAATAAACATTCAAATAAACGTTAAAAATTAAAAATAAAAACTTGAATGAAAAATAAAGAATAATAATAAATTTTAATTATTTTATTTTATTTGGGCCACAGAAATTGCATTCATAAGGGATATGTATACTGTACTTTGCATTGATTTTTATGAAATTTTGTAAAAAGATAGTAGTCAAATGAACTTTTAGTTGCTTACAATTGATTAAGCATAAACAGGTAGTTTACATTGGAAAAATTAATGACTTTCACATCACCTTGAGTACAAAAATTTATAAAGATTTATAGATATAATAGTACTTGATAAACATAATAAATTGATTGTAATAGGATGATTATTAAAGGAAGATTTATTTCATTGAATGTCCAAAGTCAGTTTCATTAATTTCGAAGTTAATTATACAAATATCGATTAGACCAGATAGCGAATGCAATGATTAGGCTCTTGGGCAATGTAAAATGATAAAATGTGACGTAATTTTTTCATGGATCTGAATCAACGATTCGGTCAATAAGTAATGTCGTTCATATTTTCTCACAGGACAAAATCCTATTCTTTCATGTCCGGTGACCCATCATGCAACAGAAAAGGACATTGGATATCGCGATCCTTTCCTCCTCCATGCGAACTTCGACAGCAACTTGCAAGCAAACGAATCATTTCCGACTCTTTTTTTTTAAGGTCAGAATGGATAATACTAGAATTCTCGCTCTACCACCGATTTTCATAAAATTCACAAATATTTTAGAAATGCACACTTTAAACAACATTTGTCGGTGGAAAAAATTATGCAAACTTGTAGTTTCCGAGATAATCGTAAAATACTTTTGCTACCATTACATTGAATTCTATAAACCGTAGAGAGATCATTCGATGTCAAGGCTAAGGAATGTCAGTCTAATTGTTCAGTTCTCATCTCATTTACGATGCTAATTTACTATTGGTCAATACGGTTACGCGTAGTCAATCAAAACCATAAATAAAACACACGACGGAAAACTCCTTTTGCCCTTGTACCGCCCCTGTAGACATCAAGTCATCTCTCTATTTGAGTAATTTATCGATTTTCATAAAATTGACAAATGTTGCAGAAATTAATGATTTTAATAATCTTTTCCTATGACAAAAATTATGCAAACTTGTAGTTTCCGAGATAATCACGAAAAACATTTTCTACCACTACATTGAATTCTATATTATATGAACATGCCTGTGGGACCTCCTCAAGCATAATCGCGTGTTCGTTGCTACAGTGGCGGATTACAAAAATGAGCCATCGATCTTCTCTCGTTTGACGCACTCTTCTTGATAAAAATTCTAAC